CGCTCTGCTGAACCAAATGCACTAATTTAGCCCAGGGCTCTGCCAGAGGGTTCTTGAATTTATCCGATTCTGCCACAAGCACCTACACCACGAGCAGCACACCCACACCAACCATCAAAATCCTGAAACTCAATCTTCCTTTCCAACACATCGCACACACAACCCACACTCTTTGTCAATCACAAAATCTCCATTTCCTTTTCCCCTTTTCATCACTTCAAACTCAAAATAAATGTCCAAAGCACCAAAACATGAATCCCTACTCATCTATAGTGTATTTGCAATAATATAATATCTAATCAAAGACAACAGTCATTAACATTAAATTAGAATAAAAATGATAATTAAAATAATAATATAAAAAAATAGACTACATAGACATAAGACCAATTTGGATAAACTTCTCCATAAGTATTTTTAAAAACTTTTTCCATAAACTAAAATTAGCTTATATATAAGTTAAAAAACATATTTTGAAGAAACTAATATGAGAGAGCTTCTATAATTAGTTTATACATAGAGATTGTTTAGATAAGCTTCTCTAGAAACACTTTTAGGAGACAAAAATAAGAAGGAAAATCAAAATAAATTTCTCCATAAGCTAAAACTGGCTTATGCATAAGTTAAAAATAAGATTTTGAAAAAATTAACAGAAAAGAGTTTCTTCGAATTAACTTATGCATAATTCGACTTTAACTTATAGAAAAACTAATTTCATTTTTCTTCTTATTTTTCTCTCCTAGAAGTACTTCTGAAGAAGTTTATTCAACTAAACCTCCTAAGAAAAAAATTATTTCATTCTTCCTTCTTATTTTCTTTTCTTATATGCTTACGAAGAAGCTTATCTAAACATCACCATACACACCAACATAATCTTTCACTTGCAGTTTAGCTCCTTAATTTACCTACGTGAAACGTTTTAAACTTTTAACTAGCTTACATTGAAGAGGTAATTTTTTTAAGACAACTTTCAAAAAAAAAAAAAAAAACAGTTCTCGATAATTAATCCATTCCAAACACGCCCTAATTTTAGGATAAATTCGAATATCTACTCTAAAAAAATCCCAATTCCATAATAATTAAACAGAAAAAAAGTAGGATCGAGCTAACTTACATTGGAGATTGAAGAGTGGCACGAAGCAGCGTGTGAAGCAGCTTGATGGAGCGAAGGACCCGACCCGGCCACGAGGACCGAAACGGAAGAGTCGCGATCGGGAAGACACGTGGCAGCCGCGAGCGCAGAGAGCGAAGGGGGTTTGATAACGCCACCCTCGTGTTCCGCCACAACGAGCGTGCTACCCTGCAACCACAGCACAGCACAGTGAGTTGAACACTGTACCACACCGAAAACGAATCGAAAATAGTTTTTCGTTTTACGACGAATCGTTACGTGTCGATGAATGGAGGCGCCGGGGAATGCGGGGAACGAGACGGCGCGTTTCCTGATTGCTCGGAGCAACGCGCGAGTCGCCATTGTTTCTTCGGAAACGGTGTCGTATTATGACGATGATGATGATGATAAGTATGAGGATGGCGCTGACGTGTTCTGCTTTATAGTGTTTTGTGTCTCGCTGGTAGGTGCCATGTGCGTTGGGAAGGTTGGCATCTTTTGGTTCGGGATACGGAAATCGTCGTCAAATGAGAGAGGACGCTTCACAAAATAAATAAATTACGGGGAAAACTACAAAGTACAAACGTTTTTTATTTTTTATTTTAACATGATCTTAACTTGAGATTAGGAGATGGATATGATGCCCTAAAGTGTTGTTGGTAAAGGAATCATCTTGATGTTTATGCTAATCCATGCTGATTAATGAAAAATGGCACGGTGTACTTCTATATGTTTATTTTTATAAAATAAAATATATTTAAATATATTTTTAATCTTTTAAATTTAATGTATATTTATTTTTAGTTCTTTAAATTTAAAATTGATCTTTTTAATTACTAATTTCAAAAAAAAATTATTTAGTCTTTGTATTCAAATTTTTATTAAAAAATTTGTCAAATATTATCATATAAAATTTACTGCTAAACTTAGTTGATATTGTATAATTATTCAATTTGTTACTTTTAAATATATTATTGAGGACTTGAGATTAAAATAATTTTTTTGAAAATTACAAAGACTAAAAATAATAAATTTTTAAATTTAAGAGACAAAAAATAAATTTATCTTAAACTTGAAAAATTAAAAACATATTTAAGTCAATCAAATAATAGATGACAAATGCTAAGAAAATAATAGATGACAAATGCTAAGGTAAACCATCTTTACATATGATTTAAAGTGTATCATAATTTCAATCTATTTGATTGATCCAAGGTTTATATTATTATGGTGTTGTCATTGTATCTTATCTGTATCATCTTTCCTTCCCTCCGATCATAACCACAATGCACTACCATTGTAGTGTCAATGCCCACCACCCATCCCCAGTGAAGATGATTTCTGGTGGTGGTGCCACTTTTTCCCTTTCTTTTTTTCCTATTCTTTGGGTTGAATTTTGATTTGTAGGTTAAACATGGTGTGCGAGTAGGTGTTGTGATGTAGTGGCGAAGGCATGCGAATGTAGGCTACAACACAATGGTAGAAAGTGTGGTTCTATCACTATTGTTGCTTGTGATATTTTGCTACGACTCATGTTCATCCTCGTTGTCTATTGCATTCAACTTTCCCATAACATCTCCTTCACTTTCTTTGTCATCAAGTACATGATAATCATAATAGATATATGAAGTTTTTACATGAGAAGAGATATAAAAAAAAAAGTAATTGTCTTTATTGATATTAGGAATAAAGAGACACTCCATGTCTCTCAATATTTTTTTAAAATAATATACATAATAAAATGAGTGGTTATTCAAAAAGTTAACATAGTAGTATGTATGACTATTCAAAGAATTTTTCAATGGTAGTTACTAAAAATAAATTTATTTTCTAAAAGAAGTATCAATCGAAAAATTAAGGGTGTATTGGTTAAAAAATTGTGGAGATGAAGAGAGGTTATCGAAAGAAATATCATTTTTTTATATATTAGCATAGATAAGTATGTGCAATTAAAGAATAATAATGATTGATTTTAAAGATTGTAAGAGTTTAAGAGTAAAAATGTCTAAAAAAGAAATGGAGACGGACAAAATAATTAACACATGTATCCCTTTTACCAACATTAGTCAACACAAGTGGTAGTAGTTTGTGTCCATTAATCAAAGTGTCTAAAGTTTGAATTCTAGCCTTGAATATAGAATAGGTTATGTTGAGAGAAAAATATACACTTTGTATGCACTTACACTTCTCGGTAGAGATCAACCATTACTCCTAGTAGTAGATAATTTGAATATAAAAAGAAAGACATAATGTTTTTTCTTTCCCCTAGTAAGTATAACCGAAGTCATATCCATTGAATAAAGTTTTGATGTAAAGGTGGCATATAAAACCCACCAATATTTGCTTAATTAAGTAGTTCATGAAGCAACTCAACATTAAAGTTGCTTTAAGTGGCTTTATGACACCTTTTCACACATGGAGGACAAATTGGTTGAAAATTAAACATTTCTATTACTTATTTTCTTCTCCATCTTCATCTCTTTCTCACATTTCATCTTCTCTTCTCAACAATGCCTCACTCAATAACCTTATGCCCTGAGTGTAGAGAAAAAAAGAGGCTAAGAAGATTTTTTTGCCTCTTCTTATTTTTTTTCCCTTTGATTTTTTAGTTCTTCAAATAATGGGAAAAAAGGGGATGAGAGTTTAGGGTTTTATGACAAAGTGTAGGATAGATGATGTCATATGTGCACGAGGGACCTTAGCAAAGTTAACAAATTTAATGGCTGAAGTGTTTGGTGGTCAAATATAAGTGGTGGTTGTTAGAGAAAGGTAGGGTAATATAGATTGGCAGCGAGCTAGTAGTGAAAGGCAATTCATTTGAGGAGAATGTGTGACAACAAGAATGTATAAAGCAACTTGAGATTGCAAGGATGATGACTCCATAACACTTAATGTGACTTCCAAAGTTAGGTATTTATTTGGTACTTAATGTGTCATCTAAGCACTGCTAATAATGTTACATAAAAAGAACATCCATTTTGAGACCAACGTAAATGATGAAGATCAATTTTAGTGCTTTTTAAAATACTTTCCTATATCTAAGCATTAACAATGTGTTACAATTTTATGGGTTAAATTGATCGTTTACCTAGTAATCATTTATTTCATTGCATCACATTTTATAGGTGATATTTGAGCTTTTGTAAATTATAAAACCTTTTCTTCAGTTTAATTCAATTGACTCGCTACAAAAAAACACAATTTAATGTTTACTAAAAGTTGATCTTAATCATCGAAAGCTAACACAAACAATTATTTTAGTATTGGTTAATTGATGACCTCATGGTCATCACAAGTCACAATGAAATCTATTAGTGTTGGTTGGAATAGGTTTTTAGATGATAGCATTTGTTAAGCCAACACTAATAAAAGAACACATACAAAGTAACCATTATTTTTATCGATAATGACTCCATCTTTGACCATTAACAATGACATTGTTGTTGCCACTTGTTTGTATTTCACCTTGTCCCCCCCTTTTTTTTTTTAGTAAAACATAAGAAACCATAATAAGAAAGGTTGAAATGTGTTTTTAACAATGTTTTGCAAATTCATTTACTTATGAAATTGTTTCATCCTATCTAGAATGATACACTAAAACTTTTGAAAAGACGATGTATCTTAAACTTCTTTTAAATGTCAATACTCTTAAAACTTGTTAAGTTTTTAGAAGTTATTTTAAACACTTTTATTCAAATATAAAAAGTAAGATAAGAGATAAAACATTAAAAAAAATATTGGTTCATCTTAAATCTATGACTACCTCTAGCTTGGGTGTCAAGAGTTTCACTAATTGTTAACATTATTATAAGTATTCTTTATCTCAAACTTCTTTAGGCTTAAATCAAATATTCTTTGAATTGTTTCTCAAAACACTAACTCAAGTATTATTTTACAACAAATAACTTTAAGTTTTCATTGTTTTCATTTAGAAAGGTAAGGGTAAAACTCACTCAGCTATAGTGTCTTAGTAAAACAAATGTACAAATTTAAGCGCATTCTTTTTTCTTATGTTACACATAAATTCAAAGAATGCTTTAGACAAAAGATTAACAAGATATAATTCAAATTCCAGCAAAAAAGGATTCTCTTTGTCTTTAATATTTATAATTAATATGAATATGTTCGTCATAAGATCATTATTTTAAGAAAAAAAAATGAACGTTGGAACATTAAATACAACATTAATTATATTTCATCACTTTCACCTTTTGACAGTGTTGTGCAACAAAGAATAAAATAATTTGTATATACTATATAGAATTATTTGTGCTTTGAGTTTCAAATTAGTGCGTTTTTAGATAAATTAGGTGAGATTTAGTTTTGACTTTTTGCAAGGCTTCTTATTCTCCCCCTCCCCCTCTTTTTACTTATGAAGAATATATATTGTGCTTTTGAATTCCTAAAAAAGATATTAAAACCACACACACATATATACAAGATTCTATGCATATTAGAAACACGACATTAAGCTCTATTGTTTTATTAAGACCATTGTTTTATTTGATTTTTAAGAAAAAAATTTTAGTGTGTATTTTTTTAACGTTGGATGAAACTTAACATGTATCCATCCCTTCCTTTATTGCTAAGTTTTTGTTTTGGAAAGTGTAAAAAACTCATTGAATAATATTCAAACTATAAAACAAACACGCTACTAGTCTTCCTTATAAAAAAATAACTTTTTTTTAATGCTTAAATCAAAACTAATTCATGATTATATGATACTCTTAAACTTAACAAGGATGTAAAACATTATTTATTCTAACATATTTCATTTTTTCTACTTTCTTTATCCTATTCCTTTCTAACTTACTTTGTCATTCTTGTTTTTGTTCATCGAAAATCTCTCCCTTTGAAAAATTGAAACTCCCTTACTACCACTCCTACAATCCATCATCATTTGCCTTACTACCAGCCATTAAAAGAGAAAGAAAAGTGTAGTTCTTGCCACTATAACCCTCCCATCCACGACCACCTACCATCTCAACCCACCACTTAGGAGTGTAAAGAAAATCTAAACCATGTCGATTGATATAAAAAAATCTAGTTTTTTTTTATTAAATTTTTTAAAACCAATTCATTTTGTAAAAATGATTTGGTTACTTAATCTATTTTTATAAAGTAGATTGATTCGGTTAAGTTTTTTTATTATAAATAATTCATATATGAGTAAAAATTGAATAATTATACTGTACCAAATCAATCTAATTTTAAAAAATATGATCTATATTTTTAAAGAATTGAACCAATCTACTTTATAAAAAATAGATTAATTAATCAATTCACTTTTATAAAATAGATCAATTCAATTTTGTTTAAATTTTTAAAAAATCTTATCTATAAACACCCATATTATCACCACATGACCCGTAACTTATATTCATTAACAAAATCTACTACCTACAACCTATCTCAACCATATTTTGGGAAGAAAAAATAAGAAGGGTAAATTTTTGAGATTTAAAAATAACAAAGAAGTCGTAAACAAAATATTATAAATCAATTTGAGCGAGTAAATTAAAATATAATATTGCTAAAGTCAATGCTAATACTAAAAAAAATTATCTTTTTTACAACTTAAAAAATAAAGATAACATTAAGGAGAACTATATTAGCATTCACTTCTATCAATTGGGCTAATAATTGGATCATATCTATTCAATGTTTTTCTTTGTAATGACCCATTGAAATTGACTCATATATTATTTATCATTAAAAATGTACTTTTTTTTATTTCATAAATTTTTTTATTGATTTTAATATTTATATTTAATTAAAAAAATACAATTTTAACCTTTTACTAAAGATTTAAAATCTCACCTTTTTTTACATTCTTTAAGGATTAAAAAATAAGTAAAATTCAGTTGAGACTAATATAATATATACGTATGGGACCTTGCCAACTATGCATCTACGTGGCATCCATGTGGCCAACAGTTAACTCCATTTAAGAAATTTGGATGGAAGGTCCGATATTGTAGTAATTTAAATTATTAGGGACCAAATTGAGACAAAAAATTAAAGTGGGACTAAATTGAAACTTTAAAATATTATAAGGGACCAAATTAGGTATTTAACCTAGATAATATCTATAATATACTTGTTTTTTTTTACCCAAAACGTTTTCGTTTAACTTTTTTTTTATATTTTATTTTCATAATTATCATTACCTTTTTACTATTTATGCATGACATGTCAAGCATCAAGATGCTAAAATTTACTTGCAACAGTTTATTTAATGAGAGATTATCAAATAATACACGTGTAACTTTTACCAACTATTATACGGTTTAATAATTTTTAATTAAATAATAAATTTTTTTAAAATACCATTAAATTGAAAGTTCCTTACTCCTAGAACATACATACAAAATTTTACATTAATCCTGTAACACCCAGTTTTTTTTAAAAGATGGCATTTTCGTAATTATTGATGACATTTTCGTAATTTTAATAAAGGAATAAGGGTATTTCTGGGTGTCGGAACGGGCCGTTCCAAATGCAGAACGAGCCGTTCCAAAAGAAGGAATATGCTTGTTTTTGAAGACCCAGAACGGGCCTGGAACGGGCCGTTCGGGTATGGAGAACGGGTCGTTCTGGAAGCAGTACGGGTCGTTCTGTTGAGATTGAGAACGGGTCGTTCTGGTTTCAGAACGGGCCGTTTTGCTTTTTGGGAACAGACCGTTCTGATTTTGGAACAGGCCGTTCTAGTTGACAAATTTGCCCATGTTTGAAGCATCCGGAACGGGCCGTTCCGAAATCAGTACGGGCCGTTCCGGGTGCGTCAGATTGCCTATAAATAGGAGGCTGAGGTGTGAAAAATTTTATACTGAGCAAGAAGTGATAATCTTAGAGAGAGAAAAAGGAGAGAGAAAGAGGAGAGAGAGAGAGAGAGAGAGAGAAAGAAAGAAAGAAAGAGAGGGAAGAAAGAGAGAATCCAGAGGAAGAGGCCCTGCCCAAGTTCCAGCTCATGCTTATCCAGGTAAGGGGGGGAGTGAGAACCTCGCTCGGGGGTGTGGGGATAATTGTTGGATAGTTTATTTGTCGGATTGGCCCCCAATCCCTTGCTGTTGTTCTGTCTGATTTTCTATTTACTCTACTTTGCTCTTTGTTGAAGGTGTCGTTGTTGTGTCTGATTTTCTATTTACTCTACTTTGCTCTTTGTTGAAGGTGCCGTTGTTCTGTCTGATTTTCTATTTACTCTACTTTGTTCTTGTTAAAGGTGCCGTTGTTCTGTCCGATTTTCTATTTATTCTACTTTGTTTTTGTTGAAAGTGCCGTTGTTCTGTCTGATTTTCTATTTACTCTACCTTGTTCTTTGTTGAAGGTAATAAATGAATATGAAATTAATGTTAATAATAAATGAGTTTTAATATGAATAAGAATGCTCTCTG